AGGGCACCTTAAGCTCCCAGCCTCTCCTTTTCTTCTTTTTTTTCATTCTGGGATTTATTTACCTTCTATGGCTGTCACTGGAACTGAGAGCTGGCTCCAGGTCTGAGAGCTGAAAGCAGGTCTCTGGAGCTTGTTTAGCTTCTATAATTGCAACATTGTTTCTTAGAGTGCAGCTCAGAGGCCGGCTTTGGCAGGCCATGAACGTTGGCTTCCTCCATCACTGGAGCAAGCAAGCCACCTGTTCCCTTCAGCTGCCTGGCTGCTGGCTGCCATCTTGGTTGGCAATTAATTTGCATATTCTGCTGATTAGCCAGGGTGTTGGGGTTATGGTCAATTTGCATGTTTCTCTTTTATTAGATAGGATAATAATAAAAGTGTAATATGCAAATCGACCGAACAGCAGAACGACCATTGGAAGTCCTTCCAGACACAGCCAGGGCTGCTAGGGCCTACTCTTGCACAAATTTTGTGCATAGGGCTTCTAGTATAGGATAATAAAGGCGTAATATGCTAATTAGACCAGACTGCTGAATGGCCTTTTGGATGAAGCTGTGGGGGCCAAGGCAGAGGCTGTTAGGGGTGATTAGGCAGGCGGGCGAGCCATTAGGAGTATCAGGCAGGCACAGTGGTTAGGGGCACTCAGGCAGGCAGGCAGAGGTGGTTAGGGGTATCAGGCAGGCAGGCAAGTGGTTAGGGGTGATTAGGCATGCCAGTGGTTAGGAGCCAGTGGTCCTGGATTGCAAGAGGGATGTCACGGATTGTGAGAGGGTGCAGGCTGGGCTGAGGAACACCCTCAATCCCCCTCCACCACCCCACCGTGCACAAATTGTGTGCACTGGGCCTCTAGTTTTACATAGGATTCCAATGACATTTGTGGTTGCTTTATTTTCAAGTTAATAGTAGAGGCTAGCTATGAGAAGGCAAAGACTGATATAATTAGGCATTATGGAAGCAATGAGAAATGATCTCATTACCAAGAAGAGACAGGAAAAAGCAATTAACGTAAAAAGTAAGCAGAAAAGCTTCAGGAAGGTTGGTTTGGTACTGTTTAGTTTAGAAGGAAGCTTAAATTGCTGTTTGTGGCAATACTGACCTTGAGGGCATGGTATGTAAAAACATTGTAGTGATAACAAAAGGTCTTAAGGGAAATATTATATGGCCAAAATGCATTTATTTAAACTACATTTTAATCTAGATTGGAGTTTTAGAACATTAATGATCTGCAATGTTAAATCGGCAGTTTAAAAAGTTAACAGAGCAAAATACAAGACTCTTAGAATAGGAAAAGGAGGTGATGAATGCTATTACTATTTTTTCAAGTTCCCTATTTTGCACCAGCTACTTTTTTAAAATAATTCTTTATTGTTGAAAGTATTACATATTCCTTCTTTTCTCCTCATTGACCCCCTCCAGCCCACTCCCTGCCCCAGGCCCTCACCACCCATATATGCATGGCCTCATCTGTGTCTGTGGGCCATGCATATATGCATACAAGGACCTTGGTTGGTTACCACCCTCCCTCTCTGTCCCTCCAAGATTCCCCTAGACACCTTTTTTCTAATGTACTCTGTACTGGCTCAAATTGAACAAGACATAAGTCAGCTAATTGCTTTAGAATTTGTTGTTTTATACTTGAAGCAAATTGTGTTGAATTTTACCATCTTCCATTAAAACAGTTACCTTTTGTCATTAGGAAAGTTATGAGCAAAATAGGTAGTGAACATTGATAGGCCTTTAGGATAATAAAAAGACTTGTAACAGTATGCTTTCTACCCACATATAATTGCTTTTTGTTTTGTGGGAATCATTATGGCTCTGTTTCTAGTTCAGAAAGTTCGGAACATGTGGTTATATAACTTTATTTGGCCTTTATTTTTCTCTATTTTTTTCTCTTTTTAATATATTTTTATTGGTTTCAGAGAGGAAGGGCGAGGGAGAGGGAGATAGAAACATCTATGATGAGAGAAAATCATTGATTGGGTGCCTCCTGCATGGCCCCACACTGGGGATCAAGCCCACAAACTAGGCATGTGCCCTGACCAGGAATTGAACCATGACCTCCTGGTTCATAGATCAGTGCTCAGCCACGGAGCCATGCTGTCCAAGCTGGCCTTCATTTTCTGTTTAACTACATACAGATCTCAGAAGTTGTGTTAACCTCTTTGTACTTATACCTGTCCGTTTTAATACTGACCTTTTTTTTATATTAACTTAATATAAAGGCTGAAACTGTTGGCTAAAGCTAATTGAGATTGATAGTTAAGATAATATGTATGCTGTCAAGAGCTTTGAAAGAGTAACATAGTGATTCAGAGTCTTAATGTTGACTATTATGTCACTTTACAAAGTTATTTTCAAGTTACAAGTTTGTTATTAGTATTGAGTTTGTAGCATCCTGTAACAATACAGTCTAATTAGAGATCAGGTAATAATGTTGTATTTTATCATCATTCATTGTTTTGCTTTTTAATATGTTTAGCCCAAAGCAGTGACAACACCAGCACCAACAACGACGCAGCAATCAAATCTTACCACCACTACCACAGTTAGTTCCTCCACAGCACCAGCTGTGGCTCAGGTCCCAACCCCCACCCCTGCTTTGGCTCCCACTCCTACTCCTACTCCCACTCCCACTCTTACTCCTACTCCTACTCCCACTCCCACTCCCACTCCCACTCCTACTCCCACTCCCACACCTACATCTATCACTCCAGCATCAGCGACAGCATCTTCTGAACCTGCACCTGTTAGTGCCACAAAACAAGAGAACCCTGTAGAACAGCCAGCAGAAACACCAGTGGCTACTAGCCCGACATCAACTGACAGGTGAGGGTTGCTAGAAAATTGTATCTTAAAATATGCTCATAACAAGGTCTTCATGCATGTATTTATTTTTATTCTGTCCAAATTAACTTTTTACTATGTTAAGCTTTTTCTAAACTTTTAACTCTGATAAAAACGGTATCACTGCTGTCTAACTTTCCATGTTCCAAATTTTTGTATGCTCTGCTTTATTTTTCCAGAGGGAAAAGGAAAGAAGATCAGAGTCATTATTTATTTTGTGTAGAAAACTTTGGAAATACACATGACCAAAAAGAAGAACTATAAAATAATAATATATTATAGCTTGACATATTATAAATAACTTGCATGAGTAGTATTATGTCCAGTGTGGTCTTTGGAGCTGTTTCTGTTTTGTGGCTTTAGTGCAACTCAGCACCTCAATGGCAGTTGCTAGAGTCCTTGGAATCAGAACCAGTCACAATGGAAAACTGCAGCAATTTACTCTTATTTCCCCAAATTACGCAGCTCAGAGAAGGATGATACAGGAAGGGGAAGAGTGAGAGGAGCTCAGAAATCAGGCTACTCAGCAGTGCTTTAGTCCCTTCGTCTGTGCCGTAAAACATTCAGTGGCCTGTGAAGCACAAAACGTAGTGCGAGGATTCTCGGGAGGCATTCTGGTATGAATTTGAGGGGTATAAGAAAGTTTTTTCATCACCACTGACCTGACATTTTAGTAATAGGAATTTGTTTCTTAGGTCAGCTTTGTTCTTCAAAAACTATTAAAATGCAAATTCCACTCTTAATTCATTCTCTAAGGTTGATAGCTGACTTAGAGAAACTGCACTTGTGCACAAGAACTGTATTGTTTTTAATTGAGGACAAATTTGACCACACTAAATATTCATTAGTAAGGAGATGATTTGATTTGTGACCTGTTCATATTAGAGAACAGCGCTACTCAAAATGCTGCGGTCAGTAGGCAGCATCGGCATCACTGGGAGTTTGTTTAAGTTTAATTCTTAGGCTTCACCTCAGATCTCTAAATCAAAATATTTGGAGGATGGTCCCAGAAGTCAGTATTTTACCAAGCCTGGTGAATTCTTAGGCTTCCTAAAGTTTGGAAAGCTCTGATATCCAGTACCACGGGTCAGTGAAAATATGCAATATATATTTGTATTAAATGAATATGGTTTCAAATATAAAAGCAGATTGCAAAATAATACAGATAATAACCATTAACCAAACATAAGCCACAAATGACATTATGTATTTCTATGGGAGTGCATATTAATGTGTAGAAAAACAGAACCAAAGAGATAATACATTGACTGACAGATAAGTGGTTTCCTCTGTGGATAGGGAGGAAAGAAGTGGTGAGGCAAAATCAAGAATGAAAAAAGGTGGTTAAATGATACCTCAATCTTTTTTTTTTTTTTTAAATTTTATTTTTTATTACAACGGGTATGATACCTCAATCTTAACTGTAATGTTTTAAAATAAATTTTAAAACTATGTGCAGCCTGACTGGTGTTGCTCAGTGATGTTGACCTATGAACCAGGAGGTCACAGTTCGATTCCTGGTCAGCGCCCATGCTCTGGTACCAGCTCGATCTTCAATGGTGGGAGGCAGCCAATCGGTGATTCTCTCTCATCATTGATGTTTGCATCTCTCTCCCATCCTCTCTGAAATCAATAAAAATATTTTTTTAAAAAATGGAACAATGTGCAAAAAAATAGCACACATTATTCCTTTTTAAAAAATTGTTTATTTAAATCTTCACCCAAGGATATTTTTCCATTGACTTTTAGAGAGAGGGAAAGACGGAGAAACACATCAATTGGTTGCCTCCTACACGAGCTCCGACCAGGGCCTGGGACCCATTGGCCTGCTGGTGCGCTAGCCACTGAGCAAAACCAGCCAGGGCAGCACACATTATTCTGTAAAAGAACAATAGTGAAGGAAGCTAACCCTACCAGATAGTAAAATGTATTATGTACAGTAACAATTACAACAATTTAGAATGGCTCTTACTAAAAAGACTGCTCAGTGAAATAGTTGTCTTGAAACAGACTAAAATACATAGGGGCTTAATATACCATAAAGATGTAATTTCAGACGACTGTGGGAAAAAGGCTGTTGGAATAAATGCCTAGTCTTCTGGAGGATGGATTACAGACCTTACATTCACAAAAATAAATTCTAGATGGATAAAGATTGAATGTAAAGGTGAAACCATAAACTGGAAGAGAACATAGGAAAAATAAAAATAACCTTAAAAAGTCATAAAGGGGGAGCAATTAATAAATTTGACTACAGAAAGAATTTAAATGTTGGCAGCCAAACTAAAAATTCCTTAATAAAAGCTTGATTTGGTCAAGTAAATGGAATACTGCATCTGTTGGAAAAACCTGCCATAGTTGTGGTTTTGCTGACATGGAATAATTGTTAAATTAAATGAAAACACATACAAAAGAGGACACAAGTGATTATTTTATAAAAACTGGTAGTGGTGGTTGTCTCTGGGCAGGGGTCTTGTGCAGAAGAATTAGTTTCTGGGTATGTATTTCTTTGGGAAATTTTGCCTTCTACGTTAGTTTCACTGTCTAGTGAATGAAGATACTTTAGAAATTATACCAAAGAATTATAATAATCTTATTGGGTATTACCATCCCAGGTACTCTGCTAAGCACTTTACCAGCAATAACCCTGTACACAACATTTTGGGATATATAGATACTATTGTTGACCTCATTGTATTGATAAACCAAGGCTTAGAAAGTTGAATTCAAACTTAGGTAGTTCCCTTACTTTTGTTATGCTACATACAGAGCTGAAGTATATTGTGTTTGTTTTTAAAATTGGGACAGAGGCATAAGTGTGTGTCGTCTTATCTGTATGTTTTAATCTAAACTGCTAACTGCTACCTTTACCGCTTTTGTAAACTTAGGTTTATTTTTCTTCAGCCTACTCTTAATGGTCTTTTATAATCTTTTTTTTTTTTTTTTTTTTTTTTTTCTTCTTTATAGTTTTTTTTTAATTTTTTTTTTTTTTTTTTTTTTTTTGTCTACTTTGTTTTTCAAACTCATCAGCAATTGCCCAACAGAAACTTAGTCCCTTTAAACTGGTTTACTTTCAGTTACAACTTAGATTTAACTCTCTTCTGCATTTTTTGGTTATGCTGTGCTGTGTTCCTTGACTTAGATGCCTTCTTTTTCCAGTTTTTGTGTTCAAAACTTACCTTTAAGAGCTAACTAAATTCTGCTACGTAAAGACTTTTCCAGGTCTTTCTAGCTTAATGTAGTTCCTATATGTGCTAGTTATCATGTACTTCTTTTGGTATTTCTACTGTGATTTGACTTACAGATTATTTAACTTCTTATGTAAATTCTTTCATGGAATAGTTGTTCATTATCTTTTTTTGTATCCCTTAAATAGTAAGCTATCTGTGAGGATGTTATTTTAAATTTTGGACATTTAAAATGATGGATTTGCAAAACAGAATGAGTATTAAGATTGAAAGTTCTCCCAAGCCATACATGTTATGGATAAAGCTTTAGGGTTTAGCCAGACTTTTAAGTTTAATTAAAAAATCAAAGAATCTCTACAAATTAGACAGTTACTAAACTTTAATATAAATTTTACATACTTTCTGATATGATTTTCTAAAACCTTGTATAGTACATCAGGAGATTCTTCTCGGTCAAATCTTTTTGAAGATGCAACAAGTGCACTTGGTAAGTATCTACATTGTAAGTAACCATATAAGAGACAGGGAAGACGTTTAATTTTTATTTCTCTGGATCATGGTAATATGTTTGTTATGGTTGCTTATAATCAAGTTGCTAAATAGTTGATTTAGATAATTTAATTATAGTTACTAATAGCTTTATAAATTAATGTTTCATACATTGACTCCTTTTTTTCAAGATGGCTTGTTTTTAAATTTTTCAGTTAGATTTGACATTCAATATTATGTTAGTTTCAGGTGTACAGCATAGTCGCTAGACAGTTATATAATTTACAAAGTGATCTCCCCCCAGTAAGTCTTGTACCCACCTAAGTGACCATTTGACCAGTTGCTATGATGCACACTGACCACCAGGGGGCAGACGCTAAATGCAGGAGTTGCCCCCTAGTGGTCAGTGCACTCCCACAGCAGCAGGGCCAGGATGGGGAGGGGCAGGGGATGAGTGGGAGCAGCGAGGGACCCACTCCGGCTCCTCCCTGGCCACCTCCCACTTCACTCAATACTATATCCCTCGGGATGTCGGACTGCTAGTTTCGACCTGATCCCTGCCCCGTGGTGGTCAGTGGGTGTCATAGCGACTGGTGGAATGGTCAAATGAATGGTCACTTAGCACATTACACTTTTATTATATAGGATGTCCACTCACATCCCCATGACTGTTTTGTAACTGCCAATTGTACTTCTTAATTCCTTCACCTTTTGACCCAACCCTTTAATCCCCATCCCATCTGACAACCATCCATTTATTCTCTGGATCTATGAGCTTGTTTCTGTCTTGCTTGTTCTTTTATTTTGTTTTTCAGATTTCATATCTAAGTGAAATCATATGGAATTTATCTTTTTCTGTTCAACCTATTTCACTTAGCACAATACATTCTAGATCCATTCATGTTGTCAGAAGTATATATTGAATCCTTTAAATTGTACTGTTAGAGTCAAGTGTACTTTTTTCCTTAAAGCACATACATTTTATTTTCCAGATGAACTTTAAATGTTATTTTAAAAAAGCTTGACCTGTGTATTATAAAATGTCTTTGAAATGGGTATTAAATGTTACTAAAATCTGTCTCACGCTTCATCTTTATTCTCTTCTAGACTTTATTTCAGCTTATAGCCTTGTAGGTTCCCATTTACTAGTATATCTTGTTGCTTATATTGTACTTGCAGTGGAAATGCCTTTTTATTCCAACTTTTAATTTTACCTACTGAATAATGTCTTTCCATCTTGTCTCCATACCCATTCTATCAAAATCAATTTTGTTTTTCCCTTCATTTTTTCATTTAAACTGCCAACTAGAAAAACTATAATCTCTACCAACTCCTTAGTTTCCAGTTGACTCATGTTTTATTCTGCCATCTGATTCCTCTTTGTTCCTTTCCTTGCTTGTATTATCATCCACATCCTTGGCCCTCTGCCTTTTGGCCTAGTGAGACCAGGAGTCTTCTTCCCAAAGTCTCTGCTGCCATTTATTTGCCTTCGTTTATGTCCTTTCCTTACTGATATTCTTGAATTACCTGCTTCTAACTGGCCTGTTCTCTGCCATAGTGGACTTTCTAAAAGGTAAATCTAGTAATGTCATTGTTAGTTCATTTCACAGCTCATAGTGACGTTCTTCATCATTACTTCTTTTTATTTTTAATTAAATATATTGTTATTGATTTGAGAGAGAGAGTAACATCAGTGATGAGAAAGAATCATTGATTGCCTCCTGCACATTCCCTACTGGGGATCGAGCCCACAACCTGGGCCTGGGCATGTGCCCAACTACTTAGCTACCCTGGCTGGGCCATCACTACTACTTTAGCTCTTGTCTTGTGTTATCCATTGTCCCTAATTTTTTTTATGAGTCATTAGCCTTTGTACTTTTTTTCTTTTATTGATTTCAGAGAGGAAGGGAGAGGGAGAAAGATAGAAACATCAGTGATGACAGAAAATCATTGATCAGCTGCCTCCTACATGCCCCTACCAGGGATCGGGTCTGCAAGCCAGGCATGTGCCCTTGATCAGAATCGAACCCAGGACCCTTCAGTCCACAGGCCGATGCTCTATCCACTGAGCCAAACCAGCTAGGGCAGCCTTTGTACTTTTAATATCTAAAAAGTATCAAAATGCAACTTGATTAATTAGGAAGCATAATTTTAAGAGACACAGCATGATTAGGTGTAGGGGCTCTAGAGTCTGACAGCTTGTGTTTGTGTCTCTGCACCATGATTTATCAGCTGTCCCGAATGGCATTAATGGGGTCTTTGTTCTCTCTATTTTCCCAGGCCAGGATGACTTAAACTATGTATTTTCTGGTTAGGGAGGAGTGTATAAACCATTTGCTCTCAAGTGTCCTTGGTTAGGTATGATAAGGTCTTGCAATTCACAAGCTGGCTACAAGCTGCCCAAACTGTTTGGCCTTGTTTAATTTTATTATCTCAGTTTCCCCATTGCACTTGCCCTGGGATTTTCCTAGCTTCTTACTATCCTGCCACAATGGGACCTACCAGATGTGCTAATAGATTAGATGTGAAAACAGGGGAAAGGGAATTGAAACCACTAAGGTTTTTGATTCAAGTATTTGGATGGATAGTGGTGCTATTCATTGAAATGGACATCGCAGATAATGGGACATATTGAGGGATAATCTAAGTCATGTGTTGGTATTGGTTTAGGAGTGAGTGGAATGTGAGGAAATGGACACAGTATGTGCAGACACCTATGGCTGTGAATGGGAGAGAACAGACAAATGGACCAGTTCTTGAAAGAGGAATTGGGATGTGATGAAGGGAGGCATGTTTTTGTTTTTAGAATGACATTCAAGGGCATAGTTAACTTCTGGTTAGGATATTTAAGTAGAGAGAGAAGGGTGGAAGATGGACAAGAGAAAATAACCAAAAGACCCGTTCTTTGAGGAGACAAGAAAGGGAATGGTACCCAGAACATGAGTGGAAGAAAAGGTGGCTTAAGTGAGGTAAAAGTGACATACTGAATGATAGGGATTGATTCATTGTACCACCTTTCTGTGGTGCTTGAAATTCTAACTTTCTAGCTTTTAACCTCCTTTCCCCCTCTGCTTTGATAATAAAAGGTGTCAAAGGAAAACTGAACTTCTTATGGCAGAGCTAATTGCTTGAAATGCTCCTCTTATTTTCAAAGTCACGTTGCTGTCCTGTGTGATCTGCTAATTCTATCCTATATTTGTGCTACATTAATACCCTATATTTTTATTGTACTTATCAAACATATTATATTAGTTTTCTATTGCTACTGTAATAAGTTACCACAAACTTAATGGTATAAAACAACAGATTTATTATTACTTTATAGTACTATAGGTTAGAAGTCTGACATGGGGCTCACTGGACAAAAACCAAAGGACTAAATTACGGGGCTAAAATCAGGGCTGCGTTATTTTCTGGAGACTCCAGGGGAGGATTTATTCTATGCCCTTTCAGCTTCTAGAGGCTGCCCACATTCCTTGGCTCATAGCCCCTTTGCCCATCATCATCAAAGCAGCATAGCATCTCTTATTCTGCCTTTCTCTCCTTTTTTTTACATCTGTTTCTCTGATCCTCTTATCCGCTTCCCTTCTATTTTTAAGGACCCTTGTGTTGGGTCCACTCACATAATCCAGGTTAATTTCCCTATTTAGCTGATAAGCAACCTTTCTTCCCTTTTGACAGGTCATCTAACATAGCCATAGGTTCCAGGCATTGGCATGGGTGGAGAGGCATTATTTACCTAGCACAGTGGTTGGCAAACTCATTAGTCAACAGCCAAATATCAACAGTACAACGATTAAAATTTCTTTTGAGAGCCAAATTTTTTAAACTTAAACTATATAGGTAGGTACATTGTTATTAACTTAATTAGGGTACTCCTGACTGGCTCACTCAACTTGTGCATGAATCGCGCGCGCCTCCCCGCGTATCCCTCAACCTGCCTGCACTGCGTCTCCCATCGATCGACCGACCGACCGACACCCCCCACTTCTTTTAACACCACTTCTTCAAAATAGACTCGCCCAGGCCGAAAACCGACTTATGCGCATGGGCCACGAAGTTTCAATCGCACTGTACGTGCGGGCGCGGTATTTTGTGGAAGTGCCACACTCTGGCCAAAGAGCCACATGTGGCTCGCGAGCCGCGGTTTGCCTACCACTGACCTAGCACATACATGTTGTAGTTCAGACTGTTATTCATCTTTGTATTCCTAGCACTTTAGTGCCTAAACATTGTATGCATTCAAGAAGTATGGAGAGTGTTTGGCATGAAATATTCTCTTTTCCCTCCTCCGACCTTGCTCTCAACTTTTTGTAGTGACAGGTCAGTCTTACGAGAATATGGTAACTGAGATCATGTCAATGGGCTATGAACGCGAGCAAGTAATTGCAGCCCTGAGAGCCAGTTTCAACAACCCTGACCGAGCAGTGGAGTATCTTTTAATGGTGAGAAACATTTTATTTATTCATTCTCATTTAAGACCAAAATCTCAAAGAAACAAAGATTTGAAGGAACAGTAACAATTCACAGGAGAATAATAATATTTGCTAGATAATTTACACCATGCTTTTTCTTAGTATGTTAATGTTTTGTGTCGATAAAATGACCTCTTTAAAAGATTTTGAAAGGATTTTTAGTTACTAAATGGCTGAGTTGTAAAGTTAACTATCCATTTGGAGTAGATCATTCTACCCCAATTATGTCATCCTCAAAGGCTGATAGTTGTGTTTGGGGATGTAGAGGAAGATTTCTTTTTTATGTAATCTAATCTAACATTTTAGTAGCTTTTTTTTACTGCCAATGTAATCCTAGATGTACTATTTAAAGCAGGAGTTTCAAGTTGTTAGAGGCCTAATTAATTGCTTATATAATTTTTTATTACTGTATGAAATAAATTTGTAGAAATTTTAGAAATTAGGAGATTTCACTTAAAACATTCAGATAATCTGATTTACCTGGACAAGTTGAATCACAGATTTTTGCAAGAGATTAGGAAAAGTTTTCGATCATAGATCTTTAATTCACTATCTTCCCCTTTCATTCACTGTTACCGGACATAATGTTGTGTATTTAATTTAACATATCATGTTGCTTACGTGGTTCTATTGACATTTGAATTGTTAGCTTGTTTCTAGTTGGTAGCAACTGAGGGAATTTCAAGTAAGTTATTGTCTGTTACTAGCATAAAGGTTTTTGAGAAATAGATTGTTGTGAGCATGGACTGAAACCCTTGATATTTTATGACAATGTCTGTTAGTTTTATAGATGTGGCATAGACTAAAGTAACAGCATAGAATTTTGGAATAACATTAGATTTTTCTTTTTTCTTTTTTTTTAGTCTTAGCATTTTATGTTAGAATTGTCTGGTGTTTTGAAGTATCATCAAAGTATTAATTTGCCCTAAATATCATTCATGATCCTAAACTAACTATGGGAAATACAGTCCACAGTTTAACCCATTCCTTTCTTTCCAGCTTGTACTTCTGTTAGAAACTCCTGTTCAGATAGTAGTTTCCTCAGGAGAGTCATGAGCCAACAAATGCTCTGCTTCCACCAGTTATTTGCATACTCATTTGCATGTGAGATTCACCAAACCCTTTCTTAGCATATCATATAATCTTTTGAATGCTCTTTTCCATTGTCCTCTTGATGAGAGTCTTTAAAATGCTAGCAGTTCATTTTATTAATTAGTTTGGAATTGAGGAATCGTATTGATAATCACCATGGGGTGGAGGAGTAACAACTACATTTCAAGTTCTCAGTAGCTACATATGGCTGGCTAATGGGTATTTTATTGGACAGCAGAGCTATAGAAAATATTTCCATTATCATGGAAAGTTCTGTTGGACAGTGCCACTGCTGCCTTATATTACAGAAATGTAGGCTCTTCTACACAGGGGTTGCCAACCAGTGGTCCATAGACCACTGGTGGTCTGTGAAGTCCGAAAGGTTGGCGACCGCTGTTCCGCACCACACTCAGGCCATTTCTAACCTAATTTAAATATATGTAGTTTTCAGGTAAATCTTGATCCTTTGCTCCCTCCCACCCCCATTTACTTATTTATTTTATTTTATTTTTTTATAGAGAGGAAGGGGGGGTGAGAGAGACATCGATTTGTCATTCCATTTATATATGCATTTATTGATTGCTCCTTGTATGTGCCTTGACTGGGGATTAAACCTGCAACCTTGTGATATCGGATGCTCTAACCCAGCAGTCACCAACCTTTCAGACCTCATGGACCACCAGTGGTCCGAGGGCCACCAGTTGTCGACCGCTACAGTCTAACCAACTGAGCTACCTAGCTAGGGCTTAAGCCTTTACTTTTAATTGAAGCATACAGTTCTTTGATGCTTTTGGAAATTAGACAAGGATATTAAATATATTAGTAAGTCTTTTACTCTGTATGTATAATATTTTAAAGCTTGGAAATTGTATTTTAGGGAATTCCTGGAGACAGAGAAAGTCAGGCTGTGGTTGATCCCCCTCCGGTAGCTACTACTGGGCCTCCTCAGTCTTCAGTGGCTGCAGCTGCAGCAACTACGACAGCAACAACTACAACAACAAGTTCTGGAGGTAAAGTGGAAGCTTTTAGATGGGGAGGAAATGGTTCTAAATTTGTACTGTAAAATAATTTAATCTGAAGTATTTTGAGGTGAGGTTTATTCCCAGAGCATTTGGATAAATCCTAAGATTCTTTTTTTAAACAATATATTTAATTGTTACTATTATTATTTTTTACAGAGAAGAAGGGAGAGGGATAGAGAGTTAGAAACATCGATGAGAGAGAAACATCGCTCAGCTGCCTCCTGCACACTCCCTACTGGGTATGTGCCCAAAACCAAGGTACATGCCCTTGACCGGAATCGAACCTGGGACCCTTGAGTCCGCAGGCCGATGCTCTATCCACTGAGCCAAACCGGTTAGGGCCTAAGATATTCTTGCTTATATTCCGCATCATTGCTGCCATTTTGGTAGAGAGCATATTCTAAGGAAGAGATACTTGCCAGTTTGCATTCCTTGTTATATTCTGAAACCATTGCGAATGGTTTACTCACCATGTCTCTTTCTCTCCTTATAAATGTCATCGAGTATGTATAATTCCAAAACCAGTGGTAGCTTGGTGGTTATTGTACAACCAAGGAATTAAAACCTCGAAAGGTTTAAAATCTTGTGTCTCTAGGTGAAAGCAAACTTGAATTCAAGTGTCTACTGGCCAACCCCCACATTTCCATTGCCAAAAGTTTGACTACAAAGCAAGGCCTGGAGCCTTTGGCAGGCCCAGGAATTAGTGTTCTTCATTCTTTCTTCTGTGTATTGAGAAAGTATTCAAACTGTTAATTTTGAAGAGGCCATTCTTTAATGCATATTCTAGTTCTAATTATGGCAGTCAATTCTGGTTGATAAAAATTTCTAAGCACTTTGTGTACAGTCTTCCCAGAGGACAGGACAGACTTGTCATTTCTGGAGAATTAGCATGGGAATGGAAAGAGGAGGCATGGCTTTGATTCAGATTGAGGGTGCTGTCCATTCACCAGCAATTATTAAATAACTTAGTTTCTGAGTCTCATTTTCTTCATCTATAAAACTGATCTTACACAAAGACGAATAAATATTTGTGTTATGTGGTCACTTTAATTTGAATGATTGTCTTGAATTAAAATTTAGGAAATAACATACAAAATATTCTCATTATTCATTAGTAACCTCAAAACAATTCTTTATTTTGTATAGCATAACCAGATAAATACCATCCCCTCCCCCACACACACATACACAAAAGTCACAAGTTCTAGATCTTATACCTTATTTGGCATTATTAATATTTATTATTATAAAGGGATCTTGGACGAAAGAGTTCTAAATATTATTACTAGATTGTCTTGTGGCTTATCTCAAGTTTTTATAGATTATAAATATTTAAAATTTGATGGCAGTAAAAAAAATCTTCCAACAATAATTCAGTTTGTGTTAATAAAACTCCATCTGATCTGCAAACCTGAACTCTTTAACTTTTAATTATTAAATACAGGGGTTGGCAAAAGTAGGTTTACAGTGTGAGTATATGAAATATACTCTTATTCTTTTTAAAATATTGATTTCAGAGAGGAAGGAAGAGGGGGAGAGAGATAGAATCATCAATGAGAAGAGAGAATCATTGATCAGCTATCTCCTGCATACCTCCCACTGGGGATCAAGCCCACAACCTGGGCATGTGCCCTTGACGGGAATCAAAACTTGGAACCCTGATGCTCTGTACTGAGCCAAACCATCTAGGCCACAGTTTATTCTTGTATTATTATTAATTTGTATTTTTCCATACAAACAATTGTAAACATACTTTTGTCCACCCCTGTTACAAATTTCCCAGGAATTCAAGCTCAGATTGTTTGGGGGCTTTTTTTCTTAGTCCTGCTATATATTTTTCTTAATAACTTTTGAGCAACAGGAACAGCTTTTAGTACTTTTTATTTTTGATAGGGAGCATACAAAACACAAGTCCTCGGTATTATTTGTTACTTTCAGTGTCTCTGTCTAAATTATGTTTGAACCAATTCTTGGTGTATATAATCAGTACTTTTGTTTAACAATGTTTTATGTGTATTTTAGGACATCCCCTTGAATTTTTACGGAATCAACCTCAGTTTCAACAGATGAGACAAATTATTCAACAGAATCCTTCCCTGCTTCCAGCATTGCTACAACAGATAGGTCGAGAAAATCCTCAATTACTGCAGGTGACTATGTATCCCATTTTGAAAAAGACCATCAACACCCCTTTCCCCTCCACCAACTCTAAACCATTCTAAGCTACTTTCAGTAGAATATGCTGCATAGATAGATGTACTAGAAAAAGAGTTGGGGGATGGAGGTTGGGTTAACTTTAGTTGCTCAAATAATAAATTTGGGAAACACCTTGTTAAAGAATCTGAGAAACTCTTCAGCAAAGAAACCTTTTAATTTGTCTTTTTTCCCAAGCTTATTAACTTGTGGGCTTAATTAATGAATGCTTAGGTCACAAAGTATTTGAGTTTGGTACATCGTTGTACTGCCTGCTAGTGTGGAAGATAAATGTAAGTTCTCTTTCCTCTTACCGTCAGTTAGTGGTTTTTTAGTATTGCTTTTATTTTTTGACAGCATACATTTATGAAAGAGAATTTGAATTCTCTTAATTCTTCACTGTTTATTACACTCAAAAGAACTGAGCTTCTTTAATAATGTGCAAGGAATCATCATATCCCCATAAAAACGTAATAATCTAGAATCAATCTAAAATATTACAGTTGCAAAAGTTATAGCTTCTCTCTTATTTGTATGTAGAATTCTTTTTTTCCTGAAGATGGTTTATATCAATGTATTATTTTTTTCTGTCCTTCATATCACAGCAAATTAGCCAACACCAGGAGCATTTTATTCAGATGTTAAATGAACCAGTTCAAGAAGCTGGTGGTCAAGGAGGAGGAGGAGGGGGTGGAGGAGGCAGTGGAGGAATTGCAGAAGCTGGAAGTGGTCACATGAACTACATTCAAGTAACGCCTCAGGAAAAAGAAGCTATAGAAAGGGTGAGTTTAAGTAAAACTAACAATTCAATTCTTCAGACAAAACAGTCACCTTTCCAATGCTCAGGGTTCACACGGGGCTAGTGGCCACTACATTGAATAGCACTGATCTATTTCCATCACAGGCGGAGTTCTTTTAGAGCGGAATAGAGCATTGCCCCTGGGGGGGATTGCAGGAAAGACGGACTTCTCAGGCCTGCTCTCCCACCTTGTCCTTGGTGAAGCCCAGGGACCAGCAATGAATACCATTCTAGCATGAAATAGTTGTAAATATATTAAGAAACTAAAAATTTCATTGATGTTTTAAAATTCAGGCAGAAAATGATCTTTAGGAATGTGCCCAATTTAAGATGATTCATTTTTAGATTTATATTTCAGATTTCTTAACTTCACTACTGTTACTAATATCTAAGGGAGATAGATAGATATATATATATATATATATATAGAGAGAGAGAGAGAGAGAGAGAGAGAGAGAGTATAGATATCATGTTATATAATCTAAATAC